CCACTTCCACTCGATGGGCTTTGTAGGCTGGTCTACTTAAGAGCGCCTCCGTATTACGTGTCTGTCATACGAGACAGTTTCAGATAGAGTTGGCTTTGGATTCGCATACGTCTCTCGTTTGGTATACATGTCGCGCATTCCGCTGATGAACCTCCAGATTTTTACCCTTTCGAGGTGTTCTCCATACGCGTGTCTAATTGCTAAATGAGCCAACCTCTAAATCTCTGAACCGAATTCCTGTAGAATCTCGCCGGCAGTTTGGTAGCGATTCTGCAGTTCCATCTGGTAAATCAACGCATCAGAGTTGTCTCTTTCACACTCGGGAACAGTTTGCAAGATTTCCGCTGCAGGTCCTTTCACAGCTACAAATGGTGCAGCAGATTTATCCTCTATGCTCCACTTGTTTGCTGTAGCCGTTTTCTCGAACTGGAGCTTAAAGACCTGGAAATGAATTGTGCCGTCTAAAGACGTAGGTTTTACCTTGGGAGCGTTCGTCGAAGTAGCTGGACGATTCAACTGCAGATCACAGAGACGTCCTTCCAGCTCCCCCACTTTTTCATCGACTTAATCCTGTCTCTTTTCGATCTTATCCTGTTTCTCCATCCATTTTATCCCGCCTATACTTGAGTAGCGTGGTGGCTCTGATACAATCTTCTTGAAGTTGTGTGATCTTTTCATTCAGCTCCGATGACACCTTCTCTGACACGTGCATTTACACCTGCGCTGACACCTCTGACGATAACTGCGACCTCTGTACTTCCAGCAGTGTTGCCGTTTTGGTACAAATGATTCAAAATGATACGTTTTTTATCGAATTTTTAAAATATACTTTTATTTTAACCTTAGTATAAATTGTGATACATTTTAATCCACAAACAAGTTGTGGGTAACTTTTTCCATCTTAAAACTTTTATGATTTTCTGGCAACACATTAAGTTTTTTCTTTCACTGAACATACCACCTTTAATCTGCATATGGCATAACTGTTAGCTACCGACAATCGGCTGTTCCCGTACTCCAGGATTTAGTCCGAAGTCGTTTCTCTTCACTAATTTATCATATATTTTGCGAACAATTTCTCACTAAATCCTGGAGTGCGGGAACAGGCTAATACTGTCGTTCCTTTTCCTTTTTGATTTTGAAGCTGTCGGGCGTGTGACTGGGCTAAGAATTTCATCCAGAGTAAACTGTTACCGAGTATAAAAGCTTTATTTTCACTCTGTATTTTATATGAAACCCAAAAAATACTAATTAAAACTGTCAACAAGATCAATTAAGAACTCAAACTGCCATTTAAATTTAAGAATTAGAACTTTTATTGAAGATTGATACATTTTCAGTGTTTCCGTGGGCAATGATCGGGATCCGGATAAAAAATTTGCACGCAAATGCAACAACAATGATATGATTCTGATAGAGATCTGGTTCAATTTATGATCCCCTCTTTTTGGTTTGTGTCACTGAAAATATGGCAGTACGGTTTGCCAGCACTGAGAAATGAATGTATACACAAACATATATTCTGCCGTTGCTTCTTTTAACTTGCTTCAAATAAATTTCCTTTACGCCAAATATTTATTTAAGTGAATCTTATATGGTTTAAATGTACTTTTCCCCATTTATTGATTTCATTTTTATAATTTCGTCTTTCTTGTGCCAGTAGTATAAAATTAGTGCTGCCAACTCCAATCAGCATGATCCAGAGCGTTTCCGTGAGAATTGATCGTGATACTGAGCTGGATAACCCAAATAAACTAAACTATTGATATTTAAAATTTATTTTCATGATAATTTTGGTCCATTTTAGGGAATTTTGGTAATACATTTCTTACATTTCTGTGTTTGCATCATCAGTGACATGGCAGCCAATAACTTTTTCATTAAGGCGTATCACGAAAAAAAGTTTAGCGTGTGTCAGTTTTATTTGACTACTTATGTCGAGAAAAAATTTTGAGTGTAAACATTTTTTTATGCACCCGCTAAAAGCCGCTAAATCGCGTTTTTTGCTATAACTTTCTGAATTGCTATTCGATTCATTAAGTTTTTATGTCAGCGAAAAGGAATCGCTCAGGATTATAATTTAATAAATTATAACCCTTAAATAAGAAAGTTATAGCAAAAAACGCGGATAACGGTTTTTAGCGGCTGCCTAAAAAAATTTTTTCACACCCAAAATTTTCACCCGACTGAGGGCCGTTTTCTAATGTAAGCAGTAAAGTTGCCGTTACTAACAGGGCAGATAAATTGTTCCTCACTTTAAAGTGTTTTCGTTGTCTTATCTTACCTGTAAAAATAAATTTGTTATTCCGTAGAGTGAAACTTCACTACATTTCCGAGAGTGAAACTTCACTACATTCGTCATAAAATTTCAAAGGTTGGCAATGCAACATAAGCAAATATAGAGCAAGAGCAACTGCTAGCAAAAACCAAAACCTTGGTTGAAATATCTAATATATCTGACTCATGAACCAAAACCAAACCAAAATTTAAAGTTGGGTACAAATTTTAAAGGTTGCATCGGGTGAGCAACAGTTTATCGATTCGAGAAATTAATGCGCTGATGAGAAAACGAAAACTCGTATATCGAGACGATAAAGTGGCCGGTAAACTAAAGGTTGGATGAGAAAACGGCCCTAAGTGTTTAAACAAGACTGACACACGCTAGCCTTTTTTCTTTCATATGTCGTGATACGGCTTAGTGTTCATGTCCATATCTGTTGATGAACCAGAAGCCTTTTGCTGTTCTTCAAACTTCGTGGACAACTGCAGCATATCCTTCGATAAACAAAGAGTATTTACCTTTTCTTCGTCCTTTGCAGATGTATCCTAGGGCTTACCCTGCAAGTTGTATTTGTCCACGTCGATGCCTTCTGCAGCTGTGATAGTAACCAGTGTTGCCGTTTTGATCCATTTACTTCAAAAGTGATACGTGTTTGTGGAAATTTTCGGAAGATACTTTAATTTTTCGCTCATTTCGCGAGATACTTAAATTTTCCGCGTAGTACAAATTTTGATACACGACAAAGAGAAAATATATACATACATATGTATGCAGTGGCAGCTTTTAAAATTTTGTTCGAAAATGTTTAAACGTTTTGGGGTCAAATAAGCTGACGGCATTCATTTTTAATTTAATTTACTTGCGGCTGCAGAGCGTATATTTTCCAATATAAAAGAGAAATAGATTTTGATTACAAACTGTTGAGAATATAACGGCATATTTATAGTCAAAATAAAGAAGACACTGAAGGTAGTTTCAGATTTTTTACATAATTTCCAACGAGTTTAACGTGGAATGTATCACATAATTTGATAATTAACGTAAATGATCGACAGTAAATAGTTTTAAGTACATATATTTGCATTCATTGTGTAGCTTCTGTGAAATCTGTACATAATATTTTTGTTCGTCTTTATAAAATATTAAAAACAATATCTCTATTTTGATAGATTGTCATTATATGAGCCGTTCAGTGCACAAACTGATTAACTCCATCAACAAAAAGTTGGGAGATGCGATCAAACAATGTACATTACTTTTTCAAATTCCATTTATATTATAAAACCAAATAAATAATGTTGTTATAAATATTATGTACTATTGTATGTTAGATAAAGTTATTATAAACGTAATAATTTATGACTATACCAAGTCCTTTGACACTTGAATTTAAGATTTTTCAAAAAGTTGAGTTAATCGATGTATGCACTGAACGGCTGATATGTAAGATATTTTTCTTCATGTGCTTGCATATGCATGTTTATGAATGAGCATTACATAATTCTTTGGTTATTGAGAATAATAAAAAGAAGTTGTATGAAACCAAATAGCATTTTTTAACAGTTTTTTTCAACTTGATACTTTGATACTTAAAAAAAAAATGTTTATACATTTATTTGATCCATTTGTTTGTTTTTTATGATACATTTTTTCATGACGTCGCGGCAACACTGATAGTAACTCCACTTTTCTTCCGGAGGTTGTTAAATTTCGCTTCTCCTGTTTGAGTTCCTCGATCTTTATATCTTGAATTTTTGTCATTTTCATAACTTTCTCCTAGGGGATTTATTTAACAATCCCAATCCTGACACCACTTGTTACAATTATCCTTGAATGCTTGATCAATTGCTTGACCATCGATGGATTTCCCAAAATCATTTCGGTTCATATTAACGGATTGTTAAATAAACGCTCAAAATGGCCAAATTACAGTACAATTAACTTTATTGTACAACAAATACTTTACAACATTCGCTAATGTAATAACGACAATTTACAATACTTCTTAAGACAATTACAAAACTTGCTAACACAATCGATCTCTGTTTTACAACTGAACTTGCAGCTTGCTGACTCGCAACTCAACTTTGTATGCAGCTTCGCACTCATGACCGCTCTAGATGTTTCTGCCATCTATCGCACATTCTCTCATTCTCTCGCTGTCCACAGCATTCTTCCACTTGACTTTTCTCGATGTCGTATATTCCACGTCTTTCGTCGAACATTCTGCCATTTTCTTGTTGTTCTCTTCGCGTTGTCGCAGCATTCGCGACAATATTTCTAGATGTATCTACATGTAAGTAAGTTAAGGGCCGGTGCCGGTTAATCAATGTCTGTTTAACATCAACTACATGTTGAATATCGTTATCGACTCCCTATTATATGTTATGGAGTCGATCGCGTCGATAACGATGTTTAACCTTACCGTAAATCCTGCATGATTTTTGAAATTTCTGATATTAATTCACCTTGAATTATATATTAATATCAGGATCTTAAAAAATATTTGTTTGACGAAATTTTCTCTCCGAAGTGAACTAATGTCAATGACAATATTTCCACATTTCTCCTGACATTAACTCACTTTTGGCTTGTCTGCTAATGACGCTGACATTAATTCGCTTACAAAAGGTAGGTCATTTATGTCAGTTGACATTAACTACAGTGGTATTATTGCACTTTATCTGGTTGTATTTACAATGTTTTTTTTTTAACTTACATGTGGCTGAGAAGCAATAAATTTCTGAACGTGCCTTTGCGAATTTCCTTAATGCGATTATTTTCCAAGTATCTGCAATTACAATTAAAATAAAATAATAGTAAAATACGTGTATCGAGTATTAAAATAAGAAATTGTACATATAAATAAACGTAAGGCTAGTGCATTTTGCTACTTAAAGACAGTAAAATTAAAAAAAAAATAAAAATTTTTTAAATGAGTTATATGACAATATATAATCAATAATTTCTATAACGCTTGTTAAATATGATCCAATAGTACGTCATATTTTTTCGAAGGATATTCGTACTGTCGCTACTTTTTTTAAATGATTATTTATATTAGCTTTTGTAAAAGTAAGTAATTACCAACATACATATGTACATACATAAGCATAACCTGCACATTCGGTTGCGCCTAGTGTGGCTGACTTTAAAAACGTATCAATTAGAGATGTTAATTTTCCGGCTTTTTCCGATCCCGGGATTTTCGAGACGGCGTTGTCACAATCCCGGGATCCCGGTATTAGTCCCGGGATTTAGATATTCATTACTTTTCAACAGCTTGAATCGAAAAAATTGCTTCTATATTGTTTGAAAAGCTCTCCTACCATGAAATAAATAATAAATAAATGGGTTTGAATCCTACTTTTTTATTTAAAGAGGCGTTTTTATCTCTCTCTGACCGCAGGATTTATTTTGAAGGACTTTGTAATTTCAAAGATATGATTTTCAAAGATATGATGCAAGATTGAAGTTGCTAAGAATTGCATTGAGTTTTGGCAATTTTTTTCCTTGACAGTGTAAAGCGGTTCCTTCCCTACAAGAAATCTTACAGGCAAATGACCGGTCACCTGACGGTCAAAGCTGATGCAATAACGCTGCAATTTCCTCATCAGGAATTCGTAGGTAATATGAAAAATCTGACCGGTTCTTTTGTGTACATGTGACTATGCGTCCCTTTCTCACATGGCGATTTTACCAGCAGTGCTAAAAGGTCTCTTTTCTACTTATTGTATTTCCGAAGGTTATTTTTACAAATGTTTTTCTGTATATTGGTGTATATTTTAGTGTGTTAGTGAAGAGGTCAGAAAAAAAGTCCTTTTCTTGTAGGGTTCCATATCAAGATATTTTTCGCATATTCGTTTGCGTGTACATATTTGTGTAAGTATGTGCACTTACGCGTTAGGGTGGTTCACCTTCTTTTAAATTTGGTTTAGACTAGTGGCCTAATCATGCCGGCCTCTTGCTATAAGCAACATCTGTCGAGCCGTTCAACCACCACACCTACATTAACATATATTTGAAAAATATATCTTATATATATACAGGGGCGCACCCAGGAATATATTTTAGAGGGGTTTTATATTTCTGAAGATATATCACCGGAATATACTGAAAATTCGCTTCAGATAATACGCTCTTTGAAATACATTTATGCAAGTTTTATGTACAGTATGTAATAAATAAATAAACGGTTTAAAATTCATAAACTGCACTTTATTTACATAAGATTAACAGAACTCAAACATTTTTAACCGACTTCAAAAAAAGGGGAGGTTATCAGTTCGTCGGAATACATAACTTTGGACCACATGAACCGATTTCAATAATTCTTTTTTTTATTGGAAAGATGACACCTCAAGGGTCGTCCCGTAATTTGGTTTCGATCCGATGATTGGATCATGAAGAAATTAACGGTACACCTAAATTTGTATACGAGAATTGAAGTCGGTTGTGTTCTTTCCTTAAAAACTAATTGTTTAATAAAAATTTCTATAAACTCAAGATGAGCTCAACTTTCAAAAGTACCTAATAAAAAATTTTAAAAAAGAGTCAGTAAAAATAAATTTATTGATTCCAAGAAATTTTTACACTTTTATGTTAATTTTTTCGATTTCTGGTTTCTGGTTTTCGATAGAGATGGTGATTTTTCACGATTGCCAGATTTTTTTAATATTTCGAATACCGAAAAAATTATCTGAACTCTTAAGAAAAACGAAAAATTGATATAAAACGACGGATAAGAAATGGAAAGGAAATTTTCTTCTACCAAAATTTCTTCAAGCAGTTTGCAGCTCTCAAGAAAAAAATGGTCGTATATTTATTTTCTCATGAAAATTTACAGCAAAAGCAAAGCGCTTTTATCAAGCAACAGAAATTATAATAAATATTTCTTATGATTTCCTTGAGAGCTGGATTCTTAGCTTTAAGATACAGTTTGTATTTGAGGTTATTAGCTTTAGGGGGGGTTTGAACCCCAAAACCCACCCCTTGTGTGCGCTAATGTATATATATAAATGTGAATGTCTGTTTGTTTATTACCTTATAACTTTTGAACCACTGCACGGAATCGCACGAAACTTTGCACACTTATTTGTTTTTACCCCGAGAAGGTTATAGGCATGGTTTTGTTTGCAAATATGGTGTCGATTTTGCGAGGGGGCGTGGGACCTCCCATAGGCCTGCAAGATTTTAATCAGCTATAACTTCGGAACTATAAGTTACATGAATTTGAAATGCAGACAAATCTATGGTAGATGCTTATAGTAAGGTATATATAAATGACTTTGCAGGAGGTGGCGTGGCATATCTCATAGTCGTAGAATTTTTAATCAGCCATAACTTAGGAACCATAAGCCACATAAAATTGAAATTTGGTATACAAACATATCAATGGTAGGTGCTTATAGTAAGGTTTATAATATAGGCGTGGAATTTGTTATCAGCCATAACTTCGGAACCACAAGTCACATGACTCCTTTAATTCCTTTTGATATGCCTTTCGAATTTAAAAGACCTCAGTTGCCAGTTCGCTTAGCTTTTGCAATGACAATAAACAATATGCTTTCAAGTAAAACCCGAAACTTTATCGAAAATAAAATGTATCATAATTGTATTGGAAAATGCATTTATGTTAATAGATATTTTGAAGTACTAAAAAAATGCTGTGAAATCATATTAGAATTATTATTCGTAAGAAATTAGATACTATTTCTTCTATCATATAATTTATTGGAGATATTTTAACCTAACTAAAAACACCTGCAGTGCCAAAAAATTATTTTTGCATTTCATTCCATAACACCCAAGCTATAAAATTAGAGCAGAGAGTATAATATCTTTACATAAAGTATTTTTCATGTTTGTATAAAGACGTGGGTTGAAACCCGTGGGATAAAGCTAGTAAATGATATTCTTGAATATATTTTTATTGTTATGTTCCGATTCTCTTGTAAACGTCTCGGCTTCCTTTGTACTGAAATAGAAAGGTTAGTTGGAAAAGGACGTGGTCAAAACATTTCATTGCACTTATTTTAAGTAGTATAAGGACATAGGTAGCTGGCGAGGTCGAGTCTCTAGTCTGCCATAATGCCTTTTTTGATAAAATTTATTGCTGATGTATCGGCTGCGGGCGGAAAGGCCTGGATTCCGCTCTGCAGCGCTTTTATTCATTAGAACGTGATCGGAAAGGCCGAGATTCCGATCCACGGTGTAGTATTTGCCTGCATAAACTTGGGTCGCAAAGCCCAAGTTTACGATCCCCTGATGTGGTCGGGCGGAAAGACTGAGTTTCCGCTCCGAGTCTTTCGTTTTACGTACATACATATATATCTATACTATATATAAAATTAAAACCCAAAAAAACGTGAGAGCAAAACAGCCGATGTACTGGGTCGATTTCTATAATTCAAGCTTTAAAATGACATATTTCTACCACAATGGGACACAGTGGTATTTTTAAAGTGAAATTTTAATAACAAGTATGTTTAATTAAAGTATTAAGTTGATCAACAATACCACGCATTGCCAGACCGTTTTTTGCCATTCATTTGAACATATGTATGTATGTACATAAAAGTTATAGGCGAATTCTTATAACGTGGTAGCAAAAGTATACAGTATGTATTACAACAAACACATCATTTTGACATAAGAATAACCGAGGCGAAAATCTCAGCTGCTCCGGCAACACAACCTCAAGGCGAATTTAGCCAAGGTTGTGTCGCCAAAACTAAAGCCCTTCGAAATTTTCTGCTGGAATATGCGTTACATCTTCCCAAATTTTACCCCTACCGAAACCAAAGATGTATACACATCAAAAATATTCCGACGAATTTATAACGTGCCCTTTTTTTGAAGTCGGTTAAAAATTATATTCAACAATTTTTATTGAGCTTGAGGCCGTTTTTTAATGAAAACTTATTGTGGAAAAGCAACAATAATTTGAAAAAATGGTAGAAGTGATAGCTATTTCGGAAATCACCACATTTCCTGATGAGACTTCTTTCAGTAGGCTTCGAACCGACGATCCCACTGACTCAGCCAGTTGCCTACGCACTGTTCGCCTTGTTAATTCTTGTTGCTAGTCTATGTTGTCCTAGTCTATGTACAAGTACTCGTTACCTTTCCGATACTGAGTAGGTATCGATACCTTGCTTGATACAAGTACAAGTACTGATTTGAGTAATACCTTGATGGTATCGATTTATCCCTATCGGGCGCAGTATTTATGTAGTAAGACATCCCTCATCCGCCGTTTAAAGTTAAAGGACAGAAAACGTTTGCAAAAGCGTAATGGGTGTGCTCTATTGCACAAGTGGCATTTGCCGTGTTTGCTCCTTATGCTTTTAGGTGGTTGTGGCGCAGCTGGTGGTGATGGTGATCGTGGTGATGACAATGACGGTGAGGATGAAATCAACTCCATAATGATTGAGAAACAACTGTAATTTACAAGAATGTGGAATGCTTAGCTTAGTTTAGAAGGGCGACTAACTTGATTATAGAGCGGGTTATTACACCCTTTTGGGTAGAGATGTCGGCTACTATTCTACCTAAACGCCACTCATGTGGAGGTAAATTTTCATAGCGAATCACTGCTAAATCGCCAATAACGATATCTCATTGAGGAAACGTCCATTTGTACCATTTGTGGAGTTCCTTTAGGTATTCTTCTTTCCAACGCAGTGAAATTTGCTGACTAAGGGCTTTCATTTTTTGCCATCGATTAATAATTGAGATTGGATTAGCTTCAATTGAAGGTTCTGCTGGAACGATAATAGGGCCACCCGT